ATGGGCAAACTACGGCCCGCGGGCCGTATACGGCCCGGCGGACCTTTTAATCCAGCCCGCGGAGCTAGGCTCCTCTCACAGTCCGCCCTGAAGACCGGTGTAGCATGAAAATCTGTCTCCTATGAGGATCTGTCCCCCTCGACGTATCTGCGCATGTGCCGGAGATCGCCGATCGGCTGCTAATGCCTGAAACTGGCACATGCGCAGATACGTCGAGGGGGACAGATCCTCATAGGAGACAGCTACACCGGAACGGCGCGGGAACACGGCGAGAGGAACGCGCGGAGCAAAGGTAAGTGAATTGACACAGGGGGGACTTGGGGACTTAATATGGGGGATGAATTAATATGGGGAATGAATTACTATATGGGGGATGAATTACTATGGGGGATGAATTACTATATGGGGGATGAATTACTATATGGGGTTGAATTACTATGGGGGATGAATTACTATGGGGGATGAATTACTATATGGGGGATGAATTACTATGGGGGATGAATTACTATATGGGGGATGAATTACTATGGGGGATGAATTACTATGGGGGATGAATTACTATATGGGGGATGAATTACTATAGGGGGGATGAATTACTATATGGGGGATGAATTACTATGGGGGATGAATTACTATGGGGGATGAATTACTATATGGGGGATGAATTACTATATGGGGGATGAATTACTATATGGGGGATTAATTACTATGCTTACTATGGGGGAATATTACTATACTTAATATGGATGACACATACACATCATTCATCTACTCTTTGTCCGGCCCCCGGGTCCAATATATGAACCCATTGCGGCCCTCAAGTCAAAAAGTTTGCCCACCCCTGCTCTATAATGTGTACTGTGTGTCAGTTAAGACTATTAAGTGTCATCTCTGTCTGCTGCTTCATTCCACTGCTATCAGCATGAATCACTTCTAACAGGTTTCCCTGAAACCAAGAGAAAAATGATGACAAGGGAGGGACCTCCAGCAGATTGACAGCCTCAGCTCTGTTCCTGTGTGTTATGTGGAGGGGGATGTGTCTCTTCCCTCCAATCAGCTCTCAGAGCTCTCCTCACTGAGCTTTGCAGTTTTTCATTTATTTCTGAACTCTCGGACACGCTCTTTGAATTCTACACTTTGAAAGGATGTAGAGAAGAGAGGACTGCAGATAACCAAGTACAACTTGTGTAGGAGGATTTGTTTCATCTCTGTGTATCACCTGAGGCCAGACACTTCACTGGGTATATGTAAGAGTTTATAGCCACTTTAAGGCTGTGGCCTAGTTGTTGTGTCCATGTTTCTTACTGCTGTTGGTTCTCTTTGAGTTTGCGGTGCTGCTGCCAGTTGTAGTAGTAGGGCTGGGGCTGACTGCTGTTGGTTCTGGTAGCAGGACTGTGGTTGGACCTGCTGCCAATACTGGCTAATGGTCTTGTGACTGTGCCTGAAACTATGGCTAGTAGCAAAACAGGTACACATATTTGTATTTCTATGGTGTGTATAGCTATACCTACTGGCCGGGGTTCTGCCATCTTGTCCTTGCCCATATTTCTTTTGTGGTCTTCTACAGTATCTGCTACTTTGGGTCTTATTCTTGCTGTTCCTGGCATGTCCTCCTCAGCTTCTTCTGCTCACAGGCATTTCTGTATCCTAAATTGTGTATTGGTTTCTTGACTGTCACACTCCTCTGTCCCCCCAAACACAGAACAGCAAAATCCAAGAACATTTCTCCTGCTTCCTGCTGAAAAATCGGCCTCTCTTCACCAGAAAACCAACTTTATGTATACATTTATTAGAGAAACCTACATGTGGTACATTTTTGAAATGCCACACAACATGATTACATAAAAAGCCATTAGTAGTCATCTTGCATGTTTAACGAAGAACATAGCAGCATATCTAATCCCAAAAAACACAACTTTGCTAATTGAACAGTCTCTACTTCTTTTCTGATGGCTCTGTGCTGTGTAATTTATCTTATATCCTCTTACAGCTTCCATTGCTTGAAATATATAATTATCAAGTGCTATTTCTGGCACCTTTGTTAAATTTGAAAACAACATGCTTACATACTAGCATTTTCCTTTAACATAAAGAGAAAAATGTGCGTATTTTTAGGATTTCATTCCAGTCCAGTCTATGAATAAGTGGTTCTAATAAGTATACTTTGGTTCAAATTCTGAAGAAAACCTTGTTCTACTTTATGCATAGCTTTTTTGAGCTGCTTAATTATACAATTCCTCCAATTTAGGTGTAAAAGATTGCCTACCTCTGTTCCTTTGGCTTTCCACTGTTCTATAAAAGCCTTTCCCAAATTACTGTAATTTATCTGATCATTTGCATTTATACTGTGGTTAAGCAATATAGAGAATAATAGGAGAATAAAAAGACATAGCAGCAGTGTGCCATATTTTTGGGGATTTACTTTGAATTATGGGAGAAGCTCTCAGTCAATTTGTGGTATCTGTCTGGCAAATCACAGACATTCGCTTGGTTTCTTTTCTTCTCTTTTATGATCAAACTCTCCCATGTAAGTAAATAGGACCACTTGGCCTGCATTAGCAGCAAAGTCCTGCAATGCAAAATTGCCATTCAGCAACAAAAAGGCCCCTGGAAAAAAAAAACAGGTATCAGGGGTTGGCAGTATTGCTTCCTGAATACTTGCAATCCACCACAGACTGCTTTTGAGTACTTTGAATCAGTGACCCACAATGTGTTTGTCGATAATGGCTTCTGACTTTTCTCCAACATTCTAAGTGTATGTAATGCGCACATAAACTTTAACAATGAACTAGTCTTCTCTCTAATTTACTCCCTTTTGATCTGTTACATATTCCATTGTAAGCCTTTTGTGAACTGATAACGCCTTGTGTCTTCTGCCTCTGCTCCTGGTTAGCATTGGTTCTCAGCTGTCTCTCTGGACTGGAAGACCATTATACTATGCCACGAGGGCTCCATAAGACAGCACCCAGTGCGGAGGAGCAGCAAAGGAACACACTTGGCACTTGGAGTGGTGCAGTCTTATTTTTATCTTTTCCCTAAATTATGGAGAAGAGTATGGGGGTGTGTACGTTTCATAGCCAAGTCCTAGGGTGACAATGTTGCCCCAAGTCCTGTCACCCTAGGGTGGGAATTGTGTTACTGGCAGGATTACAAGGTGAACATAAATTTAAAAAAAAAATTAAAAAAAGAAGGGATTGTAGCTGCTATATCTAAAGACTGGTAAGCTGGAAATTATGACATTATTCTTTAGTTTATATACATTTTGATACAAGCCAGTGATTCAGTATTTTATGTTCCATCAATGAAGGTATGTGCAAAGCAACCAGGCGAATTGATATAACTATCTCTGATACACAGAGCAGAAGGATTGGTTTTGCTCAAACTTTAGTGCTTTTTCTTTATCCAGATATGTGTTTTAAAAGCCAAAGTCCAACCTTACATGATCCATTTTTTTTACATGATCCATTTTTTTTTCATTCAACCAACAGGTTGAATGGAAAAAAAAAAACTGATTCCCCCATCCACACATTTGATGTAGATGAGGGGAATCACTCTTGCAGAGCTATTGTATTCTGTCCACAGGAAGCCTTCCCCAACGGCAGAATACCACGATCAGTGTTACAGGCTATAGCCATTGACTCTGACCACTCAGGAAAAAGCCAAAAGGCTTGTTGTACAAAAGTTGATAGATAGGGTCCACTCCACTTTGGATAGACCCCACTTCATTTGTTGGATGGAGGATGTCCAACATCATCTAGCTTCTTCCTCCCCAGGAATACTATCCCTTGCCAGCCACTTTTATTCTGGCTTTATATGGATTGAAATTTGACTGGTTCAGCAGGCACCGACCAAATTTGAACCTATGTATAGACAGACTGGTTGCACAAAATTCAATCTATTAATCAACATCTGAATAACCACCCTGTTGGAAATGTTTATTTTATTCAGCACCATCGACAGGAGCTGGCAGTGCTGATCCCTTTATCTTGATGGTGGGGAAGACTTCCCGCTGCCAAAATACAAAGGCTCAGCGTGAGTGATTCCCCCATTCAAACATTTGTGTAATTTTTATTTCGTTCCACCCACTGGTTTAATAAAAAAAAAACGACTCATGTGTGGTTGGCCTTGGTGTCACATAATTGTGTTACCTACGGCAGTCTGCTATCTAGGAATACCTATTCCTTCAGACTGCAATACTCCAAACAAGGCATTTTGGTATCTGCATAACTCCTTGCAAGAGCCTACCCAGTGTGTGCATCACTGCATCCAGGCCGAATGAGAGTAGTACTGAGCCAGGGTGCTGTAGTGTTTTCAGGAAACTATGTACAGCACCTTACTGGTCCCTTCCACCAGTCATGATGTGCCTCCATTGCATAGAGAAGCAGAAAGATCCAGTGAGAGTATCACTGCATCTAAAGTAAAGTATGTAATGAAAACAGAAAAGTTTTATTTAAAAATCCCATTAGCATGTTGATTGGTGAAGGAGGAACCAGAGAAGGCAAATAATAATCAGATTAAACGTCAGCATAATTGTGCTTAAGTTTCTTGACTATGCAGACAAACTAGGAAAAAAAAACCCTCCATCTTTGCAAGGACAAGCAGGCACTGTGGACTCACGCAGTTACATTACATTACAGTAATGCAAAATAATGGATTTATTCTACAATTAAAAAGTGTTTTCCAGTCATTAATGACCTCATGTACTTGCAAGCAGCTTATCTCTCATGGGATGTCCTCTGTTTTATTGAGCAAATGAAGTGTCAGAAAATGAATAGCGTTCTATACAATAAACTAATGAACCCCCACAATGTTGTGTTAAATAAGTAATACAGATTACAAATGCCCTGCCAGAAAGAGCGAGCTACATAATAATTACTTTTTGGATTAATCTATGCATTCTAAACAGGGATGTACAGCAGTCGTCAGATCTGCATATCTCAATGGAGAGCTGTCCAAGTCACATTACAATGAAAAGTGAAACTCGCACCCATTATCTATAGCTATAATTCCCTGGAATTTATTTTATTCTTTCTTCTAACTGTAACATTCAAAAAAGGCAGATTTCACATGGAGAAAAAGCTCTCTGACTTATCACCCCTTTGAGAACATCTTTCACTAAATTAGAACTTCCAGCCTAGTTAAAAACATTCTTATTATAGGAGACGCTGTGTTTCATTGACTATCCAAAGCCAGGAAGTTCCAGATGACACATAGCTGTTAAAAATCCCCAACATTTTTGCATAATTCAATTGAACAGATACATTTCTTTACACTAGCGCTCATTATACTCTAGTGCATCATTATAACCTTCAATATGAAAATACCAATCCCTTTTTATCAACAGGAAAATGTCCTTCTTTCAGATATGTGCCATTTCCTGCACTTCTGATGTGCAAGGTTAAATATGTCAATCAGCTAATGAATGAATGCAGTGGCATATGGTGAAAAGTAGGGTAATGCACAGATAATTATGAAATGCTCTTCATTCATGTGATGCAGAGAGCGCGTTTCATTAAATGTATTACTTTAGCGCTGATGCACACAACAGGACACGTGGGGTATGCAAAAAACAGATCCGAATGCCAGCGTGTTTATCTGTGACTCTAGGGCCCTGCTATAATTTTTAAAAGAAAATGTATGCTGTAGTACAGCTCTGAAATAGCTTTAGAAATTTGCTGTCATGGATAATATAGTACGTTCTGTACTATGCCCTCCTAATTCCTATTTATCCTCAGTGAGCACCAGGTATGTTTCAAAAAACTCCATCAGGTTAAGGGAGTATCTGTGTGTATAATAGAGAAAATAGTCAAGCAAATCCTTACCAAATCCTTGCAATTGTTCATCATAATACACAGTTTTTATAGCTGTCTAGATGAATACAGTGCATATTGATCTTCGCCACATTATTATTTATTTATTTATTTTGTTTACTATTATTTGTATTTATATACAATAAATCACACTCATAAATATTTGCTTTGTAGAAGGAAAAATATTAATAATTCATTCCGTTTCAAAAAAAATATATAAAACAAGTTTCAAAAATATAAAACATGTATTTTGTTTTGCAAACAATTCCTGTTATCGAATGCCATTTGCAATGTATGCGCTAATTATTAGAGATTTAGAAACTATAGGTAACTAACATTGGCGGCTGGTTTTAAAAAACCTTTTCTTGTATTTTACCAGCTGCTGAAAAAAAAAAAAAAAATTGGAATTTACATTAAATGGTTCAAAGCCTATAGTATGCCTGCATGACCACTGAGTCATCAGAGAAACGACAAACAGACACTTATGTGCACTTGGGTTATTATCTCTGTCTACAAAGCCAGCCCTAATGAGAACTAATTATCTGCTCTTCTTTGGAGGCTGCAGTCTGGAAGATCAACGGAACTGATATGTGGAACTGTGTTTTACCATTGTTCATCTGGGCTGCTACATTATAACAACTGTCATCATAAGAGCAGATACACAGTTGTGGAAGCTCTGCCTTTGAACACTTTTATCGGCCTATTAAAACGTTCTTTTTTTGTACGAATTGCTGTTTCCTTTTAATCTTGATTACATGCTTCATTATACTGACTTGTAACAGTTGTGATTTTTTTTTTTTACACTTGTGATGTTTTTATTTTTTATTTTTTTGTCCTTAATTGCTATGTTTAAACAATGCTTCTGACCAAAAGGCAAAAGTAAACATTCTATAATGATTTTCCCATTTTCCCATTAATTACAGCTTAAGAGGATTATTTTAGTTCTCCAGATTATATTTTCCTCAAGGAAAGTCGCTTATGCCCTTTGCACTTACTGTATATAACACATATTAATATTTTAAAAGGGATACACCTTTTTATTCAATTTTATCTTTTGTTGAAAACGAGAAAAAATACTTTCAATTAATTTAGTATGTTTTTGTATTTTAATTATTACAAGTATTTAAATTGTACTGACAATTTAGCAGAACCTAGGCTACATTCACACCAGCTATTACGGTTTGGTTCACATGTGTGCGGGTGGTGCCGCTGCGGATCCGCACGAAAATCCGTGCAGCTGCATCACAAGCACAGAGAAATGCGGACCCGCGGGCAAGTGCCATTAGTTTTAATGGCACGCTGCCCGCACTGGAAAAACGCAACCGTACTGGGAACCGAGGTCCCTGTGTGAGCTGCGTTTACAGAAGAAGTGCAGGGACTTCTTCTCTGTGTGTCACGGTGTGCGGGAGTCCATTCAAATGAATGTGTTCTCGTGCCCGTGGAAAACGCAGCCCGCACGGCCGCATATATGTGAACCAGGGCTTAGGCTGGTGCAAATTGTAGCGACAGGAACCTTCTGATTTCTGCTGCAACTCTTAGCAACTAGCCGGCGACCTGTCAATATAGTGAACTCGGCCAGTGGCCGAACGTATTTCGGCTGTGCACACAGTCAGCAATTGCCTGCAGTCATTGCTGCTGGATGCCCACAAAGTGCTTCCAGCAGCATTCAACACAGGTAATCGATGGCTATGCAGAGAGTCGCGAATAGCTGTGGCCACCAGGCAACCTGTCATAGTGAACTGGGCCTAGCTGCTCAGGGCCACAGAATGAATCAGATTACTGCTGCTCAGGGGCGGACTGACAACTCATGGGGCCCCCGGGCAATAGGGGATCATGGGGCCCCTGTGTCCTTGCCCAAACTCAAAAGAGCCTATGAAAAAGGTACCAGGGGCATCTCATGGGGCCCCTACTGACCCTGGGCCCTCGGGCAGTGCCCAAGTTTCCAAATGGTCAGTCCGCCCCTGCTGCTGCTACAATTTGCACAGGACTAAATCCTTGGTGTGAAATGTAGCCTTATATAAACTGTATAGGTCAAACTATCTGCACTTGAGAAACTTAAAGCTGAACTCTGGCCAAACACAATATTTAAGCATGTGCACTGTAAAAATAAATTAGCACTAATGAAGTGTGGGCCATTTGTGTCACCTACAGTGTTCTGTAAAACTGTTATTTTATTCATCCTGTCCAACATAATACTAAGACTTGGACATCTGACTGGAGAAAGCAGGTGATAGCAGGCAGCCCACATTTCAGCTCATCTATTCAGTAAATGTCTTGTATTCTTTTCACAGAAACAAGGAAATCTGTGATTGGAGGAAGGAAGACTGTGCCGTTCATTCACACCTTCTCCATTCACAGAATGCTTTAAACTTTATGAATAGAATGCAAGATGTTTACTGCAGAGTGTTTTTAGCTTTGGTTTAGGGTTAGTTTAGGGGTTGGGTCAAGATAGGATTTAATTTGTAATTAAAGAATAGTATTTTAATATCACGTCATTCTAAAGACTAAAACTAGAGCATATAGCACAGTGTACAGAGTGCAGTGGTGCGCAGTATAGGATATTGTGTAGTATGAAGTGTGAATAATGCAAAGTACTGTGTGCAGAGTGGAACAGTGTGAAGTACAGTATATAATGCATAGGAGCATACCGAGTGCTATTGTGTGACATGGAAAATGCAGTGTTACTGTGCCTAAGGATCCATGCACACGGAGCCTTTTAATAACTCTGGTAATGTTAGCTGTGTAAAGTCACATTAAAAACTTGAGTTTTTCAGCGGTTTTTAGCATTTTTGTATTAGCGTTTAGAAGCTTTTTTTTTGCAATTGCGTTTTTTAGGTTCTTTTGACCCCCCCCCCCCAAATTTTTTTTGTAGTAAAAAAACAAATCCAAAAAAGCTGGTTTATTGTGACTTACCGTGTTTAAGCGCTAGAGCCTTTTTACAGCTAAAAAACTATTCTAGAAACCCACTAGTCCTGGGTATTTTTTCCAGCCAAAAATAGTCCCTGCCAAAAAATGTTGATCGCAGTCTATGTGTGCATGGACACATAGAATAACATGCTGGGGAGTTTACTGACTGTAGAAAAAAAAACGTCAAAAGCCAAAAACAGCCGCTGTAAAAATGTCCAGTGTGCATGAGAACTAACTGTTAATTTTTTCTTTTTAATTTTTTAAATTTTTAAATTTTCGGGTGGGCTAAAATGCAGTAAAACACACATTGAGATGTGCTAGAACGCAGTGGGCTGGAGCTCATAACACTGATTTAAAGAGATACGGCTTAGTAGCAAGGGGTGGGGATTTGTACGTATCATTGAAATGTCTGCTAACATGCAAGCTGTACTGGAAATCTAAAGGTTTGTAGTAAAATCGCCATGTATGTGTGTGTTTCTGCACCAGTCCTATACAAATCACAACACAGTGCATGAGGCCACCCTCTGTGCAACAAACATTTAATAGAAAGCAAAGCAGACTGCAAATTCTGGGCTCTCCATGTATCTCCACAGGACAAAGTGTGCCGTACAGAAGAAGACAGAATGCTTTCATAGGATACATTTCATGCAGAGCGGTATCACTCTTTTTTCTGATAATGTCTGAGGGAATCTGGCCACAACTGCTCTGATAACACCATACTGTATATACCTCTTGGGATAAATCTGCAGAAAACAGAAACGCATCTTGGTGCCCATTCACACCAGAGTGTGGCGTGAGAAATCCCCGTTCCGTGCGCATTTCCTGCACTGCATTCCATATGCATTGGTTGTGTGATCTGCTGTGGGTGTCGATAGACATGCCAAACACAGAATTCCAACGCAGTGTGTTAGCCTACATAGGATTGCTTGGTACCACAGTAACATTCAATACAGTTGCAATGCGTTTTTAAAAGTGCGTGAACTCATTTTGGTGTGATCCAGTGTGATTTCAGACCTTTCAAATGAATGGGCTTAAAATCACATTCCACTGAACAGCACAGGAACATGGAACACATTTAGACCTGCAGTTGGGGGGCAGCAAAAATGTGTGGTTGAGCCCGTTTCTGCCACTTGCCAACTGCCCCACCTTAACCACTTCAATACCGGGCACTTTTACCTTCTTTCTGCCCAGGCCAATGTTCAGCTTTCACATTTTTAATGACAATTGCGTGGTCATGCGCAAAGTAAATTTTTATAATTTTGTTTTCTTTTGGTGGTATTTAATCACCACTGGGGTTTTTATTTTTTGATACATTAACAAAAAAAGACTGAACATTTTGAAAAAAAAAACAAACAAACATGCGCAAAGATAATTTTTATAATTTTGGTCACACAACTAGAGCTTTCTTTTGGTGGTATTTAATCACCACTGGGGTTTTTATTTTTTGCTAAATTGACAAAAAAAGACTGAACATTTTGAAAAAAAAAAACAAATACGTTTTTCTTTGTTTCTGTTATAACATTTTGCAAATAAATAATTATTCTTCATAAATTTAGGCCAATATGTATTCTGCTACATTTCTTTGGTGAAAATAACTCAAATCAGTATTTATTATTTAGTCTGTAGGAAAGTTATAAAGTTCACAAACTATTTTATATATCGGAAAATTGATCAATCCTGAAGTACTGACAGCCAATCTCTTGAGGCCCAAAAATGTCAGGAAAGTACAGATCAAGGGCGGACTGACCATTTGGAAACTCGGGCACTGCCCGAGGGCCCCGGGTCAGTAGGGGGCCCCATGAGATGCCCCTGGTACCTTTTTCATAGGCTTTTTTGAGTTTGGGCAAGGACACAGGGGCCCTGTGATCCCCTATTGCCCGGAGGCCCCATGAGTTGTCAGTCCGCCCCTGGTACAGATATCCCCCAAATGACCACTTTTTGCAAAAATAGATAGTCTGAGGTATTTAGTATGAGGCATGGTGATTTTTTTGAATTTATGATTTTTTTGTCATAATTTGTTGGAAAATGAAGAAATTAAAAAAAAAAATCACAATTTGTTACATACTGTCAGCAGAGCAGTACAGTGTCATCATATAACTGGTGCAGTGGTGATCAGGGACACTGGTGACAGTATAAAAAAAATATAATTTTTAGAAAAAATTTTTTTTCATAATACACTGTGACCAGAGTGACCATAGTAACATTGTACAACTTTGGGGAAGTGATCAGTATTTCTTTTCTTTTAAAAAACATTATGATTCCTTATAGCAAATAATTTCTTTGCCCGTAAGCCAAGAGAATTGGCTTGTATAAGCAAGCATTTAACTGAATGAAATTGATTCATTCAGGTTTTTTTTTGTTGTAATTAGTTGTGATTGGCTAATCACATGACACAAATGGGCAGTGATTGGCCCAGTCTGTACATGTGATCACTGTGAACTGTCAAAGCTAGTGACACAATTGTATACAATGGATAGCATGAAAGGAAGCCATCCATTGTTTACAATCATCATGTGATTGGTCACAGCAGCTCACATGGTACCGGCAACTGGACGGTATACAGGTCTGTCATCGGCTTTGTCCGAGGTACACAGCCGGAGACAGATCTTGCCACAGTGTGGCTCTGCATGCACACGTGAGGCGCGATCCAGGAAGGATGTTATATGGCGCCCACTTGGATCGAAGAGAGTCCCGCTCGGCCATCAGGGGTGTTTACAGGCTACGGCCGCGATGCTTAATGCCTGCAGCATAGCTCACCTGACAAATAGCAAGCAGTGGGCAGCAAACCCACCAGAAGTTACAGTCTAGCAAATAGGGAGGAGCAGCAACCGCCCCGCAACCACAGGCAATGCAAGCAAACAATTAGGGTTAAAACAGGTGGCGAGGAGGTGTCACATCACTTTCTCATTGGTCAGTAGCCTCTGGAGCGTGATCTGAACATGGATTGGACTTCAAAGGCCAGGGAGATTTCCACCAATGCCTAAATCTACCCTTAAAGTGTTACTAAACCCCGGACCCTGCATTCACTATATCTGATCTCCCCGGACCCTGCATTCACTATATCTGGTCTCCCACAGTACACACAACATGGAAATGCAATTAGTTTAGTAAATATAAACTGATAAATACCTTTTCTCATCAGCAGTTAAAGCAGTCTTGTGACTAATATCAGTATTCAGCTGAGTACTAGCTAAAGCTTGTAGGAGGAGTTTTCTTTCTGCTCTAGGAGGATGCAAAATCCCTGACCTCTGTCTGGACAGTGCTGATTGGCCCTGTGCTGTGCACTCTCCCAAGACAAAAAAAAACTCTCTAGCAATACACACCAAACTGAACACGTGCAAATACCTATGGTTCAGTCTGTCTTATCAGGAGATAAAAGGTGGTTGCTTGAAAAAGGGGAGGAACAGAGAAGAAAGGATCAAACGGCCTTTTTACACAATGCAGAGGATTAACCTCTTGGGTTCCACAGTAAGTATAACAAGCATGATTTACTGTATATACAAACTGATTTTACTGCTGTGGGTTTAGTAACACTTTAATGTAATTTTAGGATTTGATACTATTACTGCTGTAACAAATTTCTACACATAAACATTTTTTATATTTCTACGTAATACCAAGTTTGTAACTTTTATTATTTTTTTTGGGGGGGGGGTTGAATAGTCAAGATACCCTTGGTAAGAAAACTAAGGGGTGTACTCAAAGCAGGAGCAGCAATTTCCCTAAACTTGAATTTAACCCCTTGGTGCCGGCGCCTCCCGGCCCTTTAAGGGTTTCAGAAGCCGGGAGGCTGGGCAGGGTTTAGAGTCATGTGACCGCTGTGACACGCTGTCACGGTGGTCACATGATTGGGAAAGGTCCCGATAGAAAGAGGAGATCGGGACCTTTCCATGAGTACTGGACATGTGTGCTGGGAGCCCAGACACCGGGACACCGGGAAGCCGCACATTTGCGGTCGGCCGGCGTGAAGAGGTTAAAATGCCCTGAATTTAATTACAGGATCTATCTATCTATCTATCTATCTATCTATCTATCTATCTATCTATCTATCTATCTATCTATTTATCTATCTGTCCCTATTAGATATATTGAAATAATCAGACAAAACATATTGTAACACAGAAATAATACAGTATGTTATGTATTGCTAGACAGAGGTGTCACAGGTTGTGATGCTGGTCACACTTACCCACATCAGACATCTCTGGGACAGTGGCAGTGTACAAATCCCTAGTAAATTTGGGTTCATTATCATTAATGTCGTGAATCTTGATGACAAACACAGAGTCAGGTTCAACAGGTATTCCTGTTTTTTTGTTCACAGCTTGCGCATGTAATTTATATGATGCCTTTTCTTCCCTGTCCAGACGTTTCGTTGCTTGGATGTCGCCAGTATTTTCATTGATTATAAATATATCTCCAGCTCCATCTCCAGACAGAATGTATTTCAATGATCCATCCCCACCGTCCTGGTCTGAGTGTAACTGAAAAAAAAAAGAAAGAAAAAATGATATAGTATTGGTGGTCGTGCTTGCACATTTATTATGTAGAATTTTGCAACTGCATTCTATCATAAAACAATGAGCCGTTATCATCATCATCATCATCAGAGAATTGGCTCATCCAAGACTGGAATGAAAGCAGAGTAAGGAACACTGTGGAGAGCAGATATTTGCCATGGATCACCAATTTACTCGGCCGTGCTATCAGATACAGAGTATATAAAAGAGGCTCCTTACTGTTCACATATGCATTATACAGCAAGAATATGCTTCATCCTAAAGCACAGACTTGTTGCCCAAATACAGTGGGGACTCCTGTTTAAATGAGATAATGAGAGAATGGGGGATTTTGAGGTGGAATTTCCTATGCTTTATGACATAGTATATCCAATAAGGCGTATTAAGGAAACACCCAATAAGAAATTACAATACCTCCTTATGAGGCAGTGCCAGATTACCAAATAGGCAGAGTAGGCACTTGCCTATGGGCCCCATGCCATTTAAGGGTCCCAGGATCAAAAAATATTAGTTTAATCTTACCTTAAGACTAGGTTTGCCCTTGTGTGGTGCTGGACACCACATGTGACTCTGATATCTGTGTGGTGCGATTTGAGCCATACATTTTGTGTAGCTTAACTTGCATCCACAGTAAAATGGTTCTGGACCCTTTTTTTCCGCACCTGAATCGCATTGCATGGGCGTTGACACTCATGTGATCCGATTTCTGGCAATTGCACTGCGTTTTGCGATCTGCTTCAGGGTGTTGTTAATTTAACATTGGCAAGCTAACAGATCGCATGCACGTCATGCGATTGCAATGCAATGCAAGAAACGCACAGGATTCGCTGCGTTTCCCGCATCGCATCAGTGTGAACCAGGTCTACAGTGGTTGTAAACCCTTATGTATACCAGTGAAATGGTTGGCCACATATGATACACAGAGAGATGAAACAAATTCTTCTACATACATTGTACCTGTCAATCTGCACTGTTCTCTTCTCTATATCCCTTCAAAGTCCAGAATTTATACAGCTTGTCTGAGCTTGCAGAAAACGGGACAGAGAGCTGAAATTAGACACTGCAGGGCTCAGTGGAGGAGAGCTCTGAGAGCTGATTGGAGGGAAGGAACACACCCCTTTCACACAGCACAAAGGAACAAAGTTGAGGCTGTCAATCACAGGCTGTGTGCCGGAGATCCCTCTTTTTTCTTTTTGGTGTCAGGAAAACTTGTCAGAAGTGATTCATGCAGATAGCAGGAACGAGGTGGCAGAAATGGCACTTAGTACACTTAACTAAGACAAGTGCACGCTATAGAGCATGGATGTCAAACTGGCGGCCCTCCAGATATTGCAAAAAGTCCCACCATGCCTCTGCCTTTGAGAGTCATGCTTATAATTGTCAGCCTTACAATGCCTCATGGGACTAGTAGTCTGGCAACAACTGGAGGGCCACCAGTTTGATACCCCTGCTATAGAGGGATATGCTTTGTTCATATTTCATGTCGGAGGTTTACAACCACTTTAAAGACTCTATAAGAAAAATACTGTGTTAATGTAATGCACCCAACAACAACTTACAGGCCTCAGGTTCACATTACAGTATGCCTCCTAAAAGCTTATCTTCTTTCAGCTGTCAGACTGTAAAAAATGTTGTTTCAGCCTATAATGTACAGTAGTAATGGTCATCTTCATATAGGGGCCGATGTGCACACTACTTAGTTCAATGTTATCTCACTAGAGAAACCTCCAGAAACCTACGAGGGGGACCCAAGGTTTTCACCACCTAGGGGGCTCCACTGAGCTTATTCCGGTACTCTTGCTAGATATATTACATCATAGAAAGCTGAGCCTGGAGGTGAACCTCTCAGCTAGTTCCTGTATCCTGGGTAGATTTGGAATATCCATTGGAATAAATCTCAATGTTCTCCATCAGAGAAACTGATTTGCTTACATTTACTCATCACTACTTCCAACTCCTACGAACTCAAGAAAACAACATTTAGGCTCTATGTACACTGCGGCTGATAAACTCACCTTTTCAGCGTTTTTTTCAGCAGCCCCTGAACTCTCCCTAATGTTTTCCTATGTGTTTATGTACACTATGTCATTTACAGTCATTTACAAGCAGTTGAGTTTACAGTCGTTTTTTTTACGCACCAACCTTGCGTTTGGGAGTAGATTTTATCAGCGTTTCAAACGCCAAACGCTTGTAAACGCATGTAAACGTAGCTAACTGCATTTATAAGTGTTTGCATTTGGAAATTTTTTTTAACTCTTCCATTTCCAGATGCTGTCCAGAGACTTTTTTCATCATGAAAAATGCATGCAAATCGTTTTCCATACTTTGCGGTTTTGCATGACAGAAAATATGTTTTAGACACTGGAACACATCCAAACACCACAAAGAAAAAAAAAGAAAGCTAATCTCAACAAATACTGTTCTCTCCGCTTTTGCTCTCTATTTCTCTCAAAATGTCTGAAATAGTTAATTTTTTACTGTTTTTCAGTGCATTCTGGGCATTTGGAAGGTCTCCTGAGGTTATCTTTAAAAAACACTTCTAAATGCAAACGCTCATAAACGTGCATAGACGCGGTATGCAAACGCAGCTAAACAGACATTTTTTAACCTACGTTTTCCCAGCAGTCAGTTTCCATCATTCAGAAGTGTCCCGTGTACATGGAGCCTTAATGTACACAGATATATGGGCAGTATACAGATCTATTAACCTCCCTTGCGGTCTGATTATGTCCATATTTCTGTGCTCAAAGTGGTAAATTTTTTTGCATGGAAATATGTCTTTTTTTTATTGTAGGCCTGTAATTTTTACTAATAACTCACTGAAATCTCTCCGAACAAGAGTCTAGTAAACATTCCGGATATGATAAAACTTGAAATACGAAATCATAAATTATAATAATTTAATAATAATAAATTTAATTCAATAATATATAATCAAACCAAAAACACTGAAATTTGAAATATAGCGCCAAGTTTGCACATCGCTGAGCAAAGTCGCAGAATCGTTTTCAGTGTCTGATGACGAATTTCCCCACGAATCATTATCACTCAATTCTGCAAGTAGTTCTAATTTACTATTACTGTTCTCTAGCTGGTCTAAAACCAATTTTGACCTAAAGGGACGCTTTTTGGACGCCATGGACATTTCTCAGTTTCCAGGCAGAAAGAACAGTAAAATGCAGGCAAGGCACAGAACAAAGCACTCGGGACAAAATGTATGTGAAATGGTTTGATACAGGAATGTTTTACTATGTGATTTTAGTGTATTTAGTGAATGTCACTTTTTGTCATTTTCAAATTTTCCACCGTTCCGTCCCCGTTTGTCCCGACGTCGCAGGGGACGGAACCCAGAAGACAGATGCCGGCATCGGCCGGAGGACATTACAGGGGACACTGCAGGGGGGACATCGCGGAAGCGCAGGAACAAGGTAAGTGAAGAAGAGATCCCAGAGCAGCGCTGCATGGTAAGCCCGAGTATAGCTCCGGGTTACCGCTTGTGGTACTGAAACTTTACCCCGAGCTACACTCGGGAATACCGCCAGGGGGGTTAAAGTGA